CTAGGATGTGGCCCTTGTAAGGACATTCTCAAGAGGTGCGTGAAACCACCATTAAAATCTGGCAATCCTTTTTTTCTTACCAAACACATGCACCCAGAAGCCTACTCCATTGCTGCTCCTCCTCCTCCCCCCGGAATGGGATGGGGTAAGGGTGGCATTCAGGTACCACCCAGAAGGAAAATCACACGTAACCAAGAGTCATCAATGAAGCTACAGTTTCCCGTGTAAATCCGGAAGGCAGACATTCCTGCTTTCGGAAGTGGTCATTCTTACCTGATTTTGATTCCCTATTTATTACCTACCCAGAGGGTGGGGGTGGAGGGGTCAGAAGGGAAGGCAGTTGGGCCACAATGTGATCCTTTATTCTCAGTTTCAGACTGCACTGAAAACCCTCACATTTCCAATAGTTCTCTCGGTACTCCCAAAATACACACACAATAGAGCATATACATTTAATATCAGAAACTCCTTTATGATGATGGTGGCAGAAGATGGAACCAAACCCCCCCTAGAGGTCAACACACTTCGAATAGTCCTTTCACTGCGTTTATGAATATATAGATTTTAAAGAGAATACATACTGATAAAAATTCAAATAGCACAGAAATGAATAAAAGAGAAGACAAAAGGCCTCTGTACTTGGGGTAAGGCACTAGGGATGGGGGAAGGGTCAGGTCTGTGAGCTACACACATTAATTAGTAGGTAATAAAAACCAGTTATTTTACCTTTTGAAGCTGTGGATTCAACATACATTTGGCCCTGCTTTGGCCTCTAACCTCCTTTAATCCCTTCTTTCAGAATCTACACCAATTTCCTGCCCCCCCCCCTTATTTGACAGTGCAATTCTTCCAGCACCTTCTATCCGATTCTAGAATTTTTAACTTAGCTTGCAGCACTGTACCAGTCTAGTTTTCTCTCTCTCTCTCTCTTTTTTTTTCCTTTGCAAACAATCATGCTTTGGGCCCAATAATGACACAGGTTCTCATGGGCTAGCCTGGCAACCTGGTGCTACTTTCCTTTCTGTTATCGGTAAAGCAGGGGCCTCTGTCATGTCAATTTCTGTTCCACCAACAAGAGCTCCCCCGCAGTCCCACCTGCCCTGTTACTGGGGCCCAACTGCCTGGGTACCATCCTGGTTCTGACACTTCCTATGCGTGTGACTTCTGGGAAGTTATTCAACATAAATGAGCTAATATATGGAAAGGGCTCAGAATGGTGCCTGGACCATAGTAAGTGCTGGGGGAGATCCGTCAAGAAAGGCACCGGCCCCTAGTTCTAGGAGGATGCAGACGGACACCTTTGAGGCTGGCAAAAGCTCTGGGTCTTTTTAGAGAGTGCACACGCACGTGACTCTTTGCACAGCTGTAGGTGCAACTGCAGCCCACCCATAGAGTGCAAGGCTCCAGGACTCCTGGTTGCAGCCCCCAGGTCCTGTCTACAGTGATAGCAGCTCCGTGGCAATTCTTAAAGTATCACGTTCACATGCACACTGTTATGCGGGTTCCTCCCACCCTTGTTTTGGGTTCCCCTTTTGGCAGAAATGTTACACTTTTCTTCCCCAAGGCCCTTTTCACCCTGGCCAGCTTTTCTCTCTCGCTTTGGGCCAAATCTTCCCAAGTTGCCTTAAGACAATCTCTCCCTGTGCAACAAACCTCCACAGCTTTATGTGAATTACCCTGTCCCTTCTCCAAAGCTCTGATGGTCTAGCCCCTCTTCCTTGCTTCCTGAAGTCAGACCAGAGCGCGGATGATCCGCGGGGCCCCAACCAAAGGCACCTCAGAGGTGAGAGCTGAGCAAGCTCAGGTCCTCAATAAACTCAGAGGCTGCACCAACCAGCAGTGGCCAAAGAGAAGAAAAGTCAGGAAGAACTTGTGAGTTGATCTAATTCCCTCGTTAATCAGAGAAGGGACTTGCCCGAGGTCACACAACTCACTCACAGCAAAGCTGAGAACCTCTCAGTTCAGTACTTTGATTCCATCAGCATTTCTCAGACTTGACCCTGCACTTGAATCGTGTTAAAAATCCAGACTCAGCAAGCCTGCAGAGGGGCCTGAGATTCTGCATTTCCAACAAGCTCCCAGGAGAAGCTGCTGGTGCATGGACCACAAAAAGTAGCAAGGGTTTATGTCAAGGTTAATGAACTATCCCTGGTTAAAGCCCTCCACCAACCCTTCAAGTGGCTGTGTAAGTGCCCTTTCTTCAGAAATGCCTCCCTTCCCTGTCCTCCTGGTCTGCTCCCATGACCTCTGCACTTTTTCCTTTGAAGCATTTGTAACAACTGTAATTAAAGAGTATTTGTGTAATTATTAGTGTAATGCCTATCTCCCAGAGAGATTGCAAGCTCCTCGCGGACGGGACCAGCTCAGCAACTGGAAAATCATGTGTTGTCAGTAATCGAGTAGCTATTGTGGTCTGCTGTAACCTGGACCAGTATCCTGGAGAAGGTATGGTTTCTACACATGGAAAACACCTTCTGTTGGTCTCAAGGACATAAGTGAAGAAATATCTAGCTTTAAAATTTCCTCCCGTTTCAAATACATGACAACCATAATTTAAGTTGAAAAGCATATCCACCCCCCTACACACCGAAAATGTCTCCTAAATCTTTATCAAGTGGAAAATAGTCCCAATCTGGTACTAGCCACTATGCTTGGGATTAGTTAAGCCCCCCATATAAGCATCCCCTTATAGTCTTCACTGGGTAAAAATGGTCTTCAGGCACTGTGAGGACCCTGGCAAAGAAAGCAGAAGGCATGCTCCCTGACCAGCCTCACTCCACCAACAATTTCTTCTTGAGTTTTTCTGCTGCCATCCTTTCGAGGAACCCCAAAGCTCTGAGTGCCCAGCTCCTTGGTGTGAACAGAGATGTCTGACCTCATGGCCATTCCAGGAAGGCAAAGTCTGAAGTCAGTCTGCCTGGGTTCAGATGCCAGCTCTGTGCCCTTGGATGAGTTACTTAACTCCTCTCTGCTCCAGTTTCCCCATCTGCCAAATGGGAATAACAATGTCGTAAACTAGCTAGCACCTATGAGGACTAAGAGGGATGATATTCATAAAGCACTTAGCCAAGCCAGGCCCAAGATATATAATTATCATTATTCTACTATATCCAGTTCATTTTGAGACCTCATTATTGTTCTGCACAAGTCTCCACCCAGTGGCCCCACCCCATTCAGGGCTCGCTCTTCCCTGTCCCTCCTGCCTTACCTGCCTAGAGCTTGTATGAAAAGCAATGACTCACTGCAAAACTCTGCAGTTCCCATCAATCACCTCCTGTCCCTGCCTCCTGTATCATTCGTAGGTTCCTTATGGGAGGGAAATCTTTTGTCTAATGTCCAGTACATTTATTCAACAAGTATTCATCAAGGGCCCTCTATGGGCCAGGCCCCATTCTAGGCACAGGGGCTTCTCAATGAACAAAGAAAGACCTCGACCTTTATGAAATTATGTTGAACAAGGAAATCTAGTCCACCAAGAGAGTTCAGGTCTCTGGCCCTTACAGCTCCCTTCTTCTTCCCAGACCAACCCTAAATAAATCGCAAGCACCAAAGCATAAAGAAAGCATTCTGGATCAAAAAGTGCTTAGTGTGGCTTGGGAACAGTCCGCTGAACTGGTGGGCTTTGAAGAAGTCCATGTTAAAAGAGCCAGAAGTACCTGGTTCCCCGTAGCAGTCACAGGGGCCTGTCAAATACTCCAGGACGTAACGGGAAAATGAGGCTCCGTAGCAGTCACAGGGGCCTGTCAAATACTCCAGGACGTAACGGGAAAATGAGGCTCCTTTTACCCAGTGCAGTGCACACACCCATGGTTTCATGTTCTCGGAGCCATGTTCTTTGGAACAACTCCCCAGCAGGAATAGAGGCAGCGGCCTTGTGGAAAGAGCACTGGCAATGAACTCTGAAAGCTCAGGGTCAAGTGCTGGCTCTGCCACTTACTGTGGGGACCCAAGGCATGGAGCTTGTCTCACGCTTCAGTTTCTTTTAGGCAACCTCTAAGGTCCTCTTCCGGCTTTGAAGTCCACGGGCTGGGATCAACCACCATTAACATGAGACAGCAGATTCAGAGATCCCTTAATTCAACAAAATGAGCCCTTGCTCTGGGGTTGAGGTCGGGGTGGGGCATGCAAACCAGACTGGGAGCCGGGGGAGGGCATCCTTTCAGATGCACCTGACTCCAGCTGTACTTATTTCCTCCCTGCGAACGTCAAACTCAAGCTTTCCAGGCGCAACTCCGATAGAAATATCCCTGGGCCACAAGGCAAAACTAAAATAGAAGTTGTTGTAGAAAATCTCTGGTGGTCCCATTTGTCTCCCTTCCTCCAACTGGAAAACCATTCCAGACCTTGCCTGTCTCCTTGTCTCCAGACAGCGAGCCTAAAAATAAGTCTCACTGGTTGAAATGGAAGTGACCCAAGTACAGAACCAGTGACCTGCTGGCCATACACTACCGGGCAAAGACTCACCCAGGAATCTGCTCTGAGGAAAAGAGCTAGAATCCGTCCCCACTTAAACTCATTGCATCTCCCTCCACAGGCACATAGGAGGGCGTGGAGGAAAGAAAATGTAACCCAAATGTCCAACTCCCCTACCCAAAAGAAAGCAGCTCCACACTACTGCCTTCGTGCAGGAAAGCCAGGTTCTGCCAGTTACCAGAGCCCTGGAGCACTAATTTGGCTGGAACCAAAGGTGACCAATTAAGAGGTCCTGTTCCAAGACTGGCAGGTGCCTGGCGCAGGGTGACACGTGGCAGGAGGGCCACCTGACGAAACCACCAGAAAATAACATTCACTTTAAAACAAATGAGAAAGGGACAGCCACACCGAGTCTCCAAAATCAAAACCAGAAAGGCCCACGCCTTTGATCACAAACACGAAGGATACATGTTCTAATGGCTAATGACAGTTAGGAGTGGTTTTCTTACCCTCCCCACCTGGCCCAGCAGGTCCTTTGAAGGCCTTCTACTTGGCAGACATGAACTCTGACTGTTTTTTTTACTTACATGTACTCAAAGGCAGGGTTGAAAAGAGTAGCTTCAAAGTTGGCTGGGTGACCCTCAAGGGTGCAAAGTCCTTCTCCGAACACCTGTGGGGAAATTATGTAAATTTCCCAGGAGCCCCCTGGAGCTGGTTATGTCCCCTCCAGATTGCCACCAGCTGGGAGTTCCCATTTTGCACACAGATGCAGGCGCTCAGGGCACCCTTAGCAGTTCGGGCACTCGGCCCGCAACTCCAGGGAGGTCCGGGAGGATGGTCCCTCTCTGGAAGGACAAGCCCCTCGTCATGTCCCCGTGAAAACGCACCGAGGCTAAGGCTGCGCCTTGCCTGAACCATCGCAGAGCTTAGAGAGACATTAATGACCGTTTTGGGTTCGTTAAAACCCACGCAAGCACCTCCCTGGCCTCTTAAATCTTCCCAAACTACAGCTCACACTGGAGGCAAGCAGTGGCAGCGACCATAAAAGTCATCTTAAAAGGCAACTTGGAAAAAAAAACAAAAAACACCCCGATACGCACTAGTTAGCAAGTCCGCAGTTAGGGGGGCAGTGGGAGAGGGCCGGATCTGTGGGATCTGCGCGCCCGGGGTGGAGAGGCAGGGCTGCCCCAACGGTCCCCGGGCCCCCGCGCCCACCCGGCAGCCTCGAGGTCCCCGATCTGACGCCGACGCTCACACCCCCCAGCTCTGTCCAATTAGGAAAATGACCGCGAGGAGATGTGGGGAGTGGGCACCGAGGAAGGGGGACTGAGGCTCAGGACAGACCGTGGGGAGCTGGCCAGCCGGCGAGCGTCTTCAACAGGTCCCTGGCTGGGGCGCCCCGACGCCGACCCCGCAGGGGTCCCGTGGCGCACGGCTGCCCTCGGGGGCAGCCGAACCCCCGCAGGCGCGCTCCACCCTCCCCCACCCCGGGTGGCGGGGACGCGCGGCCACCCCACCCGCCCGGAGAATAAAGTTTGTGGGCAGCCGAGGGGCGGGGCGGCGCGGCGAGGAGGCGAAACTTTGAGTCCCGGGCGGGCGGCGGGGGGAGCGCACGGCGCCGGGACACCCACGTGCGGGCCCCGGAGCCGGAGCCGCGGCCGCCGCCGCCGCCGTCACCGCCCGGGCCTCCCGCGCCGCCGCGCCGCCACCGCGGCGCTTCCCTTTCATTTCTGCTTCTCGCTCTTCCTCTCCCCTCGCTCTCTCATTCGCGCGCTCTCCTCCCTCCTTCCCCTCCCCCCCAGACGCCATCGCTCCCGCTTTCCCCCGCTCTCCCTCTCTCCCTCCAGCTCGCCGGCATGAGGGAATGTGGAAGTGAAAGGGAAAGACGACATGTTTGCAGCGCGGCGCGGGCCTGCGCGCGGCCGTCCCCGGGGAGAGGCGGGGGGCGGGCCGGCCGCGGCCGCAGCGACCCACCCCCGCGCCCCCCGCGCCCCCGCCGCCGCCCGCCCGCCCGCCCGCCCGGGGCTGCGGGGCCGGGGCCGCGCGGACACTCACCCTGGTCCGGGCGCGGCTCCTGCGCTGGGGCCCTCGGAGGGCCGGGGGCTCCCGCTGCCCACCGCCCGGGCTGCTGCTGCGCGCCCGCCGCCGCCTCCACGCGCGCCCGCCGCCTGCTCCGCCGCCCGCCCTCCGCTCCTCTTTCTCTCTCTCCCTCTCTCTCCCTCTCTCTCCTCCTCTCTCTCCCTCTCTCCTCTCCTCTCTCTCCCTCCCTGGAAGAAGGGAATGAGGCAGGGCTGACGCGAAGGGATGCAAAACAGCTCCTCCTAAGCCAGCTCGCAGAGGAAGAGAGACAGAAAAGCAGCCCTTTTATCTCTCTTTTGTTTTCTCACTTCCTTCCACCCCCCCACCCCCTCCTGTCAGCCCAAGTTTTCTTTTCTCTTTCCACCGCAGACAGGATTTCTTCTTCCTCTCCTTCTCTGCCTTTCGGTTCAACTCTCCCACTCAAATGGAAAGCCTGGAGGGTTTTCGCTCCCCCCCGCCCGGTTTGGGTGGTTTTTTTTTTGTTTTTTGTTTTTTTCCCTTCCCTCTTTTCTTCCTTCTTCCTCCTTTCTTATTTCTCTAAAAGGGTTTTGTTTGCTGTGGGAGTTTCGTTTGAAAACCAAGTCACGCCTTTTTTCCTCCTTTTCTTTCTCTCTCTCTCTCCTTTTTTTTTTTTTTTCCTCCCAGAAAAGGGGAACAAAGATGAAGTGAAGCGGGGGAGAGGGGCACCGGCAGCGTCTCGCATGGAAATGGGGGGGCCCCGGCCCGGCACAAAGGGGCCCCGGGGACGGCGCGCCCCCCGGCCCCGGGGAGGCCTGGGGCGTCCTCGGGAAAGGGAGCCAGTGGGGTGGGGGGCGCGGCTCCAGGTGCCGCCCAGGCGCCCCTCCCGGGCCCGAGGTGGAAGGCTGGGGTGTGTTCTTCACTCCTGGATTTTTAAAGTAGGCAGATGGGCTTGGAACAGGCGTCCCCGCACCGCACTGAACTGTAAAAGAGCCTCGAAACAGCTGTTTGCAGAGCCCTGGACAGCCAGGCTCGAGGGAGCGGCGCGGGCTGCGAGCGCGCTCCAGGCCCGCGTGGGGAAGGGGCTGGAGGAGCGGGGGTGGGCCCCTCGTGGGCCCTCCAATCCCAGGGCCTGGGCCGCGGCCCCTCTTGCACTGCTGGGGGCGCCGAGGCGTGGCCGTTCGCCGCGCAGGGTCAGGCCCTTGCGCCTCCCTGCAGGGGGCCTGGCACAGCCCGGCGTCCCCCCAGCTCCCGGGCAGGCTGGACCCCGGGCCTCCACCCTCCAGGAAGCCCGCCACTCGGAGCCGCGTCTCGACTCCGACGCTGTCCTCGGACACCGTGGCAGAGCCGCCACGAAGGGTCAATTATTCATGGGGCGCCCGGGCGTGCTCCCAAGACCTGCTCTGCCCTCCGCTTTTCTGGTGAAGTGGGGGAGAAGACAGGGGAAAAGTTCCCAGAGTAAAGTTGGCCACATTTCTCATTTTCCCAAGTAAGTATTGAGCACCTGCTGGATGCCTGGTACTTGGCCTGGGGCTGCTGCCAGGGGCTGGGGAAAAACGTGAGGTCTGAGTAGGCCCCCGGAGTTTCCGCAGGAAACAATGCCAGAGGAGGCTGCAGCTGAAGACCAGGTCAGGGAGAGGAAGGAAAGCCTGGATCCTTTCGCCTCCCGCCTCTCTTCCTTCCCCTTCTCTTCCTTCCTCCCGGCTGCATCTCCTTGGCTCCACCCCTTCTCATCAATTCCTCCCACACTTCCTTGCATTCCCTGGCTTTTCACTGGAGGGTCCCTTCTCCCAGCGAGGAGCAGATGCAGAGCCCCATTGTCTCTCCCCCAGTGCCTGCAGCCTCCCCGGACCGACCTGCTACTCTTCACCCCTCCCCCCAGCCAGGAGGCCTGGGCCTTTAGAGACTGGAGCCCCAAGGCCACTGCCCCTCACCCCACCCTAAACCAGCTCCTGGTGTTGTGAGCGATGACTCCAGTCACTCAGAACATGATTTGTTTCTGACTGGGAGTGAGAAAACAGTAGCCTGAGACTTTGCTTGAGCAAGGCGGAACACCATGGTTATAATATCAGTGCACTGAGCACCCGATGACCCCAGAGCCTTCACCCACCACACCCTCTTAGTAGGATATACAGGAAGCCACGTTTCTGTCATTTTATATCCTCCTGCTTCGTGCACCTAGGCTGTATCCTTCAAACAAAGCAAGATGCCGCTCTGATAGTCAAGCATTCATTTAACAAATGCTTACTGAGTATCTACTCTGTGCCTGCTGTTGTGCTGGGTGCTAAGGACCATCAGCACATGTGGTCCTCCTTTAGGCCTTGCAGACCTGCAAGAGAAGCAGCAAGAAGACAGACAACCACGATGCCAGGTGATGCATGCAAAGATGAACCAAGGAAGCATCTAAGAGGGTACTCCAACGAGGGTGGTCAGGGATGGCTTCCTGGAGGAGGTTACATCTAGATAAGTAGGCCTGTGCCAGGCAAATGAATGAGAAGGTACAGCCTGTCCAAAGCTCCCAAGGCCAGAAAGCACATTCTTACAGATTCTTGGAACTGCCACAAGTATTTGCTGCAGTGTGGAGTGCACATGGGGGAGTGGGGAATGAGTACAGTGTCAGGGCACAAGTGGGGGAGGGGAGAGCATGGAGCATGACAGGGCATAAGGGGAGGAGGGCAGCATGTATCAAAGATGTTCAGATGTTCAGATTTTAGCCTCTCCCACTTGCTAACTTCAGGACTTGGGTGAATAACAGTTTCAGTGAATAACAGCTTCAGTGAATAACTTAGACTCAGTTTCCCCACGTATAAAATGGGGATAAGAAGATCTGAGGATTGCAGAGAGATAGCATCTTATGTTTAAGGGCCCAGGCTTGCTGCATATCCCTGGGCAAGTTGACTTCTCCGATTCTCTGTCTTCTCATCTGTAAAATGGGGATTAAAACACCCTCACAAGGTTATTGTGAGGATTAAATGAGCCTATAGCGTGGCATCCGGTACATAGCATCAATACATGGTAGCATTTATTTTTATTTTTTGTATTCCTCATCCAAGGATGTTTTTCTACTTATTATCAGATAGAATGGGAGGGACGGAGAGAGACAGAGAGAAACATCAATGTGATAGAGCCACATTGACTGGTTGCCTCCCGCAGGACCCGACCAGGGCCAGGGAGGAACCGCAACCAAGGTACGTGCCCTTGACCGGAATCGAACCCAAGATTCAATGGTCCTCCGGCCAACGTTCCAACCGCTGAGCCAAAGTGACCAGGGCAATACATGGTAGCTTTTATTTGTTAGTTTTATAAATCAGGGAGTGACAGGGGAGGTGCCCCTACAACTTAAAAATGAGATTCTGTTCAGAATGACTCACTCTTCCAGAAACGAGATAAGCTGGCTGTTGAGGAGGCATCCATTGAAAGATGCCCTGTGTCCCAACAGGTGGCCTGGGTTGGGAACACCTACATCTCATCAAGGTAGTCAAGGTGTTATCTCAGGAGCATGACTGGAATGTGAAGATTGGTTATGGAGGCCTGGCCTCATCAGTGGCATTGTAACCTGCCTGAAGAATGAATAAGAGTAGGCTTCATAAAACCCCAGAGGGCCCCTAGGAGCAGGTATCTGGCTGAGTTTGCTCAGTGGAGAGAAGTAGACACAGACATTCACTTCTGCAGAAGGAAGAGGAGAAGGAATTATTGACTCCTCTGGAGTCCAATTTAAATCTTAGTCCTTTGCTTGGGTTCCTCATCCTCTGAGCAATGTGCAGATGAACTTGGCAGCAGCAAAATGCCCCCTGGATCCAGGCACACCAGTGTTCCAGTTCCTGCATTGTAAACATTTTACACTTCTATTATTTCTTTGTGACACAAGTTTATTGTGAAAGAGTTTGAAAATCAGCTAAGCAAAACTGCAAAGGAACCCCCACAGAGACGTTATAGTTTGGCGTATATCCTTGGACATTTTATATCTACGTATTTACGTGGGAAACGCACATAATAATAAAACTATACAAAAGTAAACATTGTTAAATGAATGACTATACATGTAAATATGTTATTTTTACAAGATTAACAAAAATGGCATAACCTTATACTGAATTACAGCCAGTGATTTGTCACCAATCTCTTTCCCTTTCTATGAAATCCACGTTATCATTCTTTTAAAAAAAATTTTTTTTCTTTATTGATTTTAGAGAGAGAGAAAGTGAGAGGGAGAGAGAGATAGAAACATTGATGAGAGAGAACACCAATTGGCTGCCTCCTGCATGCCCCCCACTGGGGATCAGGCCCACAACCTGGGCATGTGTCCTGACCGGGAATTGAACCAGCAACCTCTTGCTGCATGGGCTGACGCTCAACCACTGAGCCACACTGGCTGGACCACGTTATCATTCTTAATGAATGATATTTTTCCATGCCACACACGTATCTTTGTTTAAATTGCATAATTGGTGGACTTGTGGGATGTTTCCAGTTTTTCACTTTTTTGGACCCGCTGTGATAAACATATAGTCCCCTTTGTGTCAGGTAGATGTCTTATTCTAACCATCATTTTACAGATGAGGAGACTGAGGCACAGAAATAAAAACTTCCCAAGGTCACAGCTGTGGTGTCACTGAGCCAAAATTTGCAGCCAGTTTCCAGTTGGGAGTTCCTTTCAGCATCTGTTTTCTCTTTCCTTTAGAGTGACGATCCCCTTTTTCTTTTTCTCTTACAGATTGCCCCCCCTGGGTGAACCTGTCTGGGCAGGTGACCCACTTCCTTCTCTGATACCTTTTTAACTTCACTAATGTCTACCTGCTGGGATTGGGAGGAGTGAAGGCAGGTAATATATGACATGTAATGCATGAGAGTGTATTTTGTAAATTGTGAAACCTGTGCGAATATTAGGCCTAAAGTCACAGTCAGACACCATTGTGGTTTAGCCAAATTCCCTGACCTTCCCTAACCTAGGAACGAAGCCTCCAGATTCATAGTAGAGAGAAAGAAATTGGCGATTCTGATGCAGAAGCAGTCTCCAGAGGTCTCCCCTGGGCATTGCAGAAGCCCCACAGTTGCCCCCCCACCCCAGCTGAAATAGGAAGGAAGGTTTATTATTATAAGGTTTATTAATCCTCAGGATTTCCCTGAGGTAGGGGCATCCATTCATGTCACTAACTTTCCAGAATGTTCATATCCGTCTCTAAAAATCTGGGGAGCCTTGTAAGCTGAGAACAGGGATGAAACACAGCTCTTCAGTGTTTCAATTGATGTGTTCACCAGAGTAACTGCTGGGAGATTAGCAGGTGATTATTAAGATCTGTTTCTCTCATTGACAGAACCAGACAGACATTTTAAAAAGCATCAGTGGCTTTGCAATATTTAATGTTTGATGTTTTGTACTAAACCTTCCGACTGGGATTGGCCAATGGAAAGTATAGGACCCCAGGACTGAAATAAGAGGGGCTGCAGAAAGCAGATATTTCATACATGTCTTTCCCTCTCTAGAAACAGTCACATTAGCCTTAAGCAGAGGTGGATTCATGGCTCACTGGAGATGGCAGGGGGACCCGGAGTTGGTAGAGTCACTGAAAACTGAGGTGATGACCAGAGTCACACCGATGTGTTGGGCAGCAACTCAGAATTTTCAGAAGTACAGAAAAATTTAGGAATCATTTGGGTTTGGGGGGGGAAATCCAAATAAAGCAAAAGTCTGTGTGGGGGGTGGACATCTGACATCTGTGAATTATTTTCCCAGGAGTAATGACAGGGTACATCAAATTGTCTACCTCTAACGACCCCGCCTACTTTATTCCCAATAACTTAACCAGCCTTATTTGCATAAATATAAAAATAAAAATATGCCATTGACCATAAACAGGAAACTGCCAACCTCACCAGTTCAAAACAAATAAATACATACATAAAAGCCACAATGACGACACCTGTTGCTGTGGACGAGCTCATTGATATTTAGCCTGGAATATAATTTCTTATTAGCATTCAAATAAAGCTTAAAAGTTTATACCCTTTGGTTCTGTAATTTTCATTCTAGAAATCTATTTGAAAGAATCAGCAATGTGGACAGAGATGTGTGTTAAGGATGTTTATTAAAGTATTTATATTGGCAAAAATTACAAATAAAAAAAGGAAAAGGAAGGAAGGAAAAAAATCTAAGTATTCACAATGAGAATATGGATAAGGAAATAATGGTGTGTGCCTTTGATGTAATACTCTATTGCTATTTTTAAAAAACCACATGTTTTTGAATAATATTTAGTGAATTGGGAAATGTTTGTAATATACTGAGTAAGATACAAAGTTGCATATGCTTCAGAATTATATTTTTAAATGTTTTTTAATCCTCACCTGAGGATGTTTTTATTTATTTTATTTTTTTTAAATACGTTTTTAGCCCAGCCGGTGTGGCTCAGTGGATTGAGCATTGTCCCATGGACTGAGAGGTCCTGGTTCAATTCCTGGTCAGGGCACATGCCTGAGTTGCGGGCTTGATCTCTAGTAGGGGGTGTACAGGAGGCAGCCGATGGATGATTCTCTCTCACAATGATGTTTTTATCTCTTCTTTCCTCTCTCTCTCTAAAAAATCAAATTAAAAAAACCCATAAAATGTTTTTATTGATTTTTTTAGAGTGAGAGGAAGGGAGAGGGAGAGAGAGAGAAACATTGATTGGTTGCCTCCCACATGTACCCCGGCTGGAGATTGAACCCACAACCTGGGTATGTGCCCTGACTGGGAATGGAACTGGCGACCTTTCAACGCACAGGATGATGCTCAACCAACTGAACCACACCAGCCAGGGCTATTTTGGGGCAATTTTGTATATGCTTGTATATTTAAACCCCCGAAATACATATAAAGTACTTAGAAGGAAATACAAACAAGTTAAAAGTTATTTCTGATTTTTGGAATTATCGGTGACTTTTATTTTCTTCTTTCTTTATTAGCATATTTGCCAAATTTCTATAATGATTATATTATTTTGAAGCAACAACATATAGTTAGAGAACAGGATCTAGGTTTCTCATTCCCTCCCCAATCAAAGATCCAGGTCAGGCCTTCAAGGAGCTTCCAGTCTCAAAAAGCCGAGCAAACAGGAAGTTATGTTGCAGAGTGCAATTATTTCTCCTGTCCTGTAAATGAAGACTTAGGTCCTAGGAGGAAAGAGGAACCAGTGTTTTGGTTGCTGCTGATTTGGGCTCTGGGTTGAATAGACTCCCTATTGTGAAAGTGTATTGTGCAAAAAAAGAATGGGGCTTTTTGTGAAGGGAGATAAAGGGTTGTGGGGTGGGAACTGGGAGGATGGGGGGGGTGGAGGCAGGCCTGGATGCCCTGTGGGCAGGGCTGCTCTGAAGGTCTCAGTAGTATCCTCCCCAGCCTGCACCTGGGTTGCTGTGTCCAGGGCCAGCGGGTACTGAGGAGGGAGGGAGGGCTCGGTAAATGTGTATTGTTCATAAGAATAGATGAATGAATCAGCATGTAACCTAAGGGATCACTCTCATGGATTTCCTTTAAGGCATTAATTAAACATGTTGTCTGGGGAAAATAAGACACCATTGTGAAGCCGTGATGAGGAGCAAGACCAGAGGAGCAAGGTAGGTGTGTGTGCCTGTGTGTATCTGCTTTACCATCAGGAGGAACCTGGGTTCAAGTCTGAATGTGGCAATGACTGGAGTCTAAGATGCTCTTGGCTGTTGCGACTTGCCAGCTGTGTGACCTTGGCTAGACGCAGTCTCTGAGTGGTTCACTCCCTAGAGAATGGGCTCAGGGCCACCTGTGTTGTTAAGGCGATCCAATAAGATAATGCATGTAGGATAATGCTGTATAGACAGGAAAGTACTCTGCAAATAGAACGAGCTAATGATGTTACTTTTTTTTTTTTTTTAATCCTCACCCGAGGACATTTTTGCATTTATCTTCAGATGGAGCGAGAGGGACAAAGGGAGGAAGAGAGAGAGAAACATTGATGTGAGAGAGACACGTCAACTGGCTGCCACCCACACAACCCCAACCAGGGCCAGGGACAAACTGCAACCGAGGTACGTGCCCTTAGGGGGAACTGAACCCGGGTCTATCTGGTCCGCGGGCTGAAGCTCTAACCGCCAAGCCAAACCAAACCAGCCAGGGTTGATGTTACTTTGATTACCTGCAAACTCCCAGGTATCTCCTGCTTGGCCGGGGTGGTGGACAGGTGCCATAGGATGATGACTTTGCTGTGTTGAATTTTCAGACATGAGTTCCCTTTTTGGTCTCCTCCCTTTGCCTTTATTCTCCACATTATCAGCACACATTTATTGAGAACTCCTAATGTGTCGGCCACCTTCAAGAGTCCCCCAAGCAACCACGGGTGATAATGTAAGACTAGCGATGGCTTATACAAGAACAGAAGAGGGGTGCCCAGTTCTTACCTTTGGGGAGCCTTCGTAGAAGAGGTGATGGTTAAAATGGGTCTTGAAAGAAAAGTGGGAACCTGCCCAGCAAAGCAAGGGGAACAGGGCTTTGAGCAGAGGACAGAGTTTAGGAAGTTACTTAACCCCTCCGAGCCCTGGTTTCCTGCTCTGAAGAACTCAGCCTGATCACTACATGAGATAACACATGCCAAGTGCCTAGCGTGGTGCCCGGGCTTGAGTGGGTACTGAAAAAAGCCAGTTCTTTGTCCCTCTGTATCAAAATCACTTCCTCTTCGAAGCTTGCTTCCTGTTCACATTTTGTTCTGTCCCCCCCCCACCCCAGTTCCTGGGAACACAGTGACTGTTGGCTTGGGCTGTGAGTATTCAGCCTACTTTCCAGGATCCGCAAAATAGTCTAAAAAACTATCATATTTTCCGCCATAAAGAAAATCCCAATACATTTGAAATGCAGACGTCATAGGGGCCGCATTCCTTGTTCACAATATGCTAAAACAAGAAATTTGCATTAGAAATGGAAAAATTCTCCAAAATAGGCCCTGGCTGGGTAGCTCAGTTGGTTAGAGGGTCATCCCGATATACCAAGGTTGTGGGTTTGGCCTGGACAGGGCACATACAAGAATCAACCAATGAATGCATAAAGTAAGTGGAACAACAAATCGATGTTTTTATTTCTTTCTCCCCCTTTCTCTCTCTCTAAAATCAATCAGTAATTTTTTTTGAATTCTCCAAAATAGCTTTTGGGTAAAGGAGGAAATCAAGAACCAAGTGTTAATTTAAAAAATAACACAAAGCATTGCACCTATGAAAACCAGCAGGACATGTGAGAAGCTTTACCCAAAAAGTTCTGTAGCTTTCCTAATGCTGTTGTTATTAAACCCAGAAAAAGTTAAAATGGTCATGAAATGATTTAGAAATATTAAAAAATAACATCCTAAATAAAGATGAGGAAGGAAGGAATCAGGAAAAAACAGAAGCAGAAAATAATAAATTAGAAACTAGAAAAACAGTTGAACAAATACCTTGAGCTGGGTCTTTTAGTAAAAACAAAGTCTAAGTAATACAATGGACAAATATAATGAAGAAAAAATAAAACAAATGAACTCAAAATAAGGTGAAGTAATGGTGGCAATCACAACAGAAATAAGCTAAAAATAGAAAAGGATATTATGTGAAATTGCTGACAAATTTGAAAGCTTGAATGAAATAGTTTTCTAGGGTAAAAAACAAAAAAAGAGCCCTGGCTGGTTTGGCTCAGTGGTTAGAGTGTCGACCCTTGGACCAAAGAGTCTCTGGTTCAATTCCAGTCAAGGGCATGTACCTTGGTTGCAGTTTGGTCCCAGGCCCTGGTCCGGGACGTGAAGCGATTGATGTGTCTCTCTTACAACGATGTTTCTCTCTCTGTCTCTATCTCTCCCTCACACTTGGTCTGAAAATAAATGGAAAAATATCCTGGGGTGAGGATTTAAAAAAGAGAGAGAGAGAGAGAGAGAGAGGTTTCCTTTATTCGAGAGAATCAGAAGCAGAAAATGTAAGCTACCTCCTTGGATTTCTGCTCAAACGCTCCCTGGACAGAAACCGCCCCCGATCAGCTTTTTAAAAAAAATTGATTTTAGACAAAGAAACATCTATTTGTTGTTCTACTTTATGCATCCATTGGTTGAGGTGTATATGCCCTGACTGGGGATCAAACCTGCAACCTTGGTGTATCGGGACAACGCTCTAATCAACTGAGCTACCCAGGCAGGGCTCTGTTAAATTTTTAAAAGCCACTTTTTTTATTACCTAAAGAGCTTATATAAATGATTTTTTTTAAACTGTAAAAATCTCAATATGTAAAGGGTCAAAAGACACTATGAGTCAGGTCACTGAAGAGAAAAAATATCAGAACACAAAACAACAAGAAAATGTTCGCAGTCACAATCACTTAAATAAACCCAAGAGTGGAAGGGAGCCCTGAGGATTGGGATACAACTTCCCTTCTGGGCCCCAGGACCAGCTCACTCTTGGGAAATGGGCAACCTGGGGAAGCTGCACCAGATGGGAGGTCAGGAGGGGAGCGGCAGAAGGAGGCCCTTACCCCCATCCTCCTATCTAGATTTGGGGAGCCTTGGCTGCCCATCCCCTCCTGTGGGGTCAGTGGTCCTCTCCTGCACCTACTTTACCCCCCTGCCTTTTCTGCAACAGGGCACAGGGTGGGGAGAGCTGGTGGGACGCCCCGGCCTGCAGACAGGGTCCCCACACAGGCACCCTTTCCTGGGGACTAGCATGGAAGAGCTGGGGAGGCTGGCTTCACGACTTCCTTGAGCTGAGGGCAAAGATCCGGAGAGGTGGGTGGAATGAAATCAAAGGGGTTTTAAGGCTATTGGAGTAGAGTAGAAACCAGTGGGGACAGGGACTTTCTCTTTTGCTGTTGTATCCCAGTCCTTGTTACCTCCAGCAGGTAATCATTCCTGCAGGTACACCTCTCACATTCATTTTAGGCAGGTTTTCTCCACCCCAAACTCCACTCTTTCCCCTACCCTGCCACCTCTCGCTCTGGTGCTAAGGGACGTCTCCTGCTCTCCGCTTCCTTTTTGGGTCCAAAATGACCAGAATCATGGCAGAGTTGCAAAGACTCATGTCTTCCTTGTGCACTTGTAAAAAGATGTAAGAAGGGTGTTCTTCTTGATGCACTTATACAAAAAAAAGAAGAGGAAAATCGTAACATGTTAAAGGAAATTCACATAACAGAGCCCCCCACCCCGTCACCTCCTGAGATGCTCAGAAGCCCCCTTCAGATCTCCACTAGTGCCTCCGTCTGATTCTCAGTAATTAAACTTGCTTTTTCTCAAGCATCAGCACTCATAACAAGTACAGACAAGGTTTCAGATCCAAAATCTTTTTTATTTATCATCCATGGTTGTAAACTGCTTTATTTTTCATGGCAAACTTCCAAGCATTTCTACTATGTCATGGATTAAATAAAAATTTTCAACTAGCTTGGGAACTTTATAATTAAAAACTCCCCCTCCCCTCCCCCTCTCCCTACATGGAATCCTGTGCTTTGCAGACGCCTCAGTGCCAGGAGACCCAGTAGGAAGGGTCCCAAGGGTTTGCTGCTCAAAGAGGTTTGTAAACCCCAAAGCTCAATGCATGAATCCATTATTTAAAAAAAAAATTTTTTTTTTTTGTTAATCCTTAGCCGAGGGTATTTTTCCACTGATTTTTGTTTTTTGTTTTTTTTTAGAGAGAGTAGAAGTGAGGGAGGAATGGGGAGGGAGGGAGAGAGAGAGAGAGAAACATCGATGTGAGGGAGACACATCATTTGGTTGCCTCCTACACCCACCTGGACCAGGGCTGGGATCGAACCTGCGACCCAGGTACATGCCTTGACTGGGAATCGAACCTGGGACCCTTCGGTGCATGGGTCGGTGCTCTAACCACTGACCCACACCTGCCAGGGTGCATGAATCCATTACGGTATTCCTGGTGTGAGTGAGGCTGAGGCCCTTCTTGGAAGAATCCTGTAACAGTGGACTCCACTACGTTTCTTTATTGGAGCAGGAATCTGTCTACTTTTAGATCAGATTTCTAGAATTCTCCATCCTTAAGGAGCAGCTTCCAGAATAAACCAGGAGCTCTGGGTCCTGCCTGATTGGCCATCCTGAGGATCGGCTGGTGGAGAAGGGGATGAAAGCTCATGCTGAGCAGCAGGTGAAGGCAGTCCGGAATCTTTGAGACGTCAATCTTTTTGGGGGGACTCCTGGGGACTAGATGTCTCTGGGACAGAGAGCTCTGTCCTCTGAGAAACCTTAGGGTGTTATACAACAGGCTGTAATTAATATCACCCAGGCTCAGAAAGACATCCCATCATTCTAATAAAAAATGAAAGCCACCTGGGCTCAGTGCCCAGAGCCTGCAGACACTTGCCAGGCCGGGAGCTTCCAGCAGAGGGTGCTCACAGGGGCCTGAAGTGCCCCCAGGCCAATCAATGCCCAGTGATACCAGCCACCTGCAGGAGAATGCAGCCCTGGCCCATCCGGCCCTGTTCCGCCAGAGATGGGCAGGTACCAGGAGTCCTGCTGCCCCAGAGGGGAGGCCTGGGAGTGTTGGGGACAGGGGGAGATGCTTCCACCCTGGTGCAGAGCACAGAAGCCACCTCACAGAGTTGCTGTTATAGGGATTAAATGAGAGAACATGTATGAACCACACACTCAGCACACGACAGGCATTTGTAATAACTGTTTTCAATGACGATAATGCCGTTGAACTAATTCCTCCCTTTGCAACTCCCCCCTCTTCACCCAACCCAAATATATATATTTCCACCCTTCACAGCCCAGCAAGCTACTCTTCCTCCCAGAAGCTATCCAGGATCACTTTGGGCCAGTGGTTTACACATCTGGGGCAGAATCACCTAAGAAGGTGAGAAAGTTTTGTTGTTGTTTTTTTAATTTATTTTATTTTTTTTTGCATGGATGAAAAAAATTTTGTGTGTGTGGTAAAAACACATAACATAAGATGTACTGTCTTCACCATTTTTAGTGTACACTTCAGTAGTATTAAGTATATTCGCATTGTTGTGGAACAGATCTGCAGAACTTAGTCTGTTTGCATGAAACAAAAACTCCCATTTCCCCTTGTCCCAGCTCCTGATAACCACCACTCTACTTTCTAGGAATTTGACTACTTAGATACCTCATATAAGTTGGTCTTTTTGTGATTGGCTTATATCACTTAGCATAGTGTCTTCAAGGTTCTTCCATGTTTAGCATGTAAAAGCATTTCCTTCCTTTTTAGGGCTGAATAATGTTTCACTGTATATAATGTACCGTATTTACCATATTTTGTTTATCCACTCACCTATTGATGGGCATTTGGGTTGCTTCCATCTTTGGACTATTGTGAATAATGCTGCCATGAGCATGAGTGTGCAAATATCTGTGCGAGTCCTTGTTTTCAATCCTTTTGGGTGTTTACCCAGAGGTGGGATTGCTGGATCATATAGTAGTTCTGTGTTAATTTCTTGAGGAACCTCCCTATGGTTTCCCAAAGCAGTCGCCCCATTTTATAATGCCACCAACAGTGAACAAGGGTTTCAATTTCTCTACATCATCATCCATACTTATTTTCTGTTTTTTTTTCTTTTGATTCTTCTCTCTCGTGTGTGTGTGTGTGTGTGTGTGTGTGTGCATTTTGTTTTGTTTTTTTCTGTTATTGGTTTTAGAGAGAGAGGAAGGGAGAGAGAGAGAAACATCGATGAGAGAGAACATCGATTGGCCACCTGCTGCATGCCCCCTACTAGGATCAAGCCCACAACATAGGCATGTGCCCTAACTGAGAATCGAACCAGCGACCTCTTGGTGCATGGGTCGACACTCAACCACTGAGTCACACCGGCCGGACTGTTTGTTTTTTTTAATGGTATGAGGTGATTTTGCTTTTGCTGCCTGTGCTGTTGGTATCACATCCAAGAAATTATGACAAAATCAATGTCATGAAGTGTTTCCCCTCTTTTCCCAAAGAGTGTTATAGTTTTGGGTCTTATGCTTAGGGCTCAAATCCATGTTGATTAATTTTTGTACTTGGCATAAAGGTCTGATTTGATTCTTGCATGTGGATATCTACTTTCCCCAGCTCCATTTATAGAAGACATTTCCCAGTGGGGGGCATGCAGGAGGTGGCCAATCGATGTTCTCTTATCGATGTTTCTATCTCTCTCCCTTCCTCTCTCTAAAATCAATAAAGAAAAATAAAAAATAAATCAGTTGTAATGTCTCCTCTTTCATTTCTAATTTTAGTTATTTGAATCTTTTTCCCTTTTTTCTTAGTCCATGTAGCTAAGGGTTTGTCAATTTTGCTGATCTTTTCAAACACGAACTCTTAATTTTGTTGATTTTTTTTCTATTGTTTTTCTATGCTATGTTTTGTTTATTATCTCTGCTCTAATCTTTATTATTTCCTTCCTCTGCTAGCTTGGGTTTAGTTTGTTCTTGTTTTTTTTTCTTAGTTCCTTGAGGTATAAAGTTAGGTTGTTGATTTGAGATCTTTTTTCCTTTTTAATGTGAGCATCTAATAGTTATAAACGTCCCCTTAGCACCTTAGCTTTCTCTGTCTCATAAGGTTTGGAATGTTGTGTTTTTCTTTTCATTGGTCTTGAGGTATTTTCTGATTTCCCCTGTGATTTATTCTGTGACCCACTGGTTGTTTAAAAGTGTGTTAATTTTCATGAATCTGTGGGTTTTTCTAGTTTCCTTCTGCTACTGATTTCTAGTTTTCATTCCATTGTTATGGAAAAAGATACTGTCTATGATTTCAGTCTTTTTATTTTTTCTTTTTAATTCTTACCTGAGGATATGTTCTTGTTGGTTTGAGAGAGAGAAGGGAGGGAGGGGGGAGGGAAAGAGAGAGAGAGAGAGAAACATCTTTGTGAGAGAGAAACGTTGATCTGCCGCCTCCTGTATGTGCCCCAACTGGGGATCAAACCAAAAACCTTTTGGTGTAAAGGATGATGCTCCAACCAACTGAGCCACACCAGCCAGGGCTATGAGTTTAATCTTTTAAAACTGGTTCAGCGTCCTTAGGATGGAGGGGGTCGTGGGGAGGGAGAGGACAGGAGTAGGGAGGGAGTCCTGGGAACCCCAGGGTCAGGGGTTCAAGGCATCCAGGGCTTTTTGGGCCAGGCTAAGGAGTTAGGGCTCAGTTCTCAAGGACTGGGGAGCCATTGAAGAGTCTATGTGGGAGAATGAGTCCCTCAAATTTAATTTTAGAAAAAATATTCTAGCAGAAATATAGAAGGTAAATTGGAGAAAGGCAATATAAGCATAAGGGAGACCAGGCAGGTCTGGCCAAAAATCTGGGCAAGAAATCTTGATAGCATGAATTTAAACAGTAAATATGAAAAGAGTAGATGAATTTAAGAAATATTAAAATGAAAGGATTGAGGGGACTTGGTAACCAATTAGATGAGAATGTGAAAGTGAGAGGCATCTTAGTGATGTTCACCCTCTTTGAGTCTGTATGCTAGTGAAATCATCCTAACTATTTAAAAGTCTTTATGTGGCCCTGGCCAGCTAGCTCAGTTGGTTAGAGTGTTGTCCCAATGCACCAAGGTTGCCGGTTTGATCTCCAGTCAGGGCACATACTAGAATCAACCAATGAATGCATAAATAAGTGGAACAACAAATCGATGTTTCTCTCTCTCTCTCTCCCTTCCTCCCTCTCTTCCTCTAAAAAAAAAAATCAATAATAATAAAACAGTCCTTATGCAAAAAAGATGTTGAGCCCTGATTGGTTTGTCTCAGGGGTTAGAGCGTTGGCCTGCAGACGGAAGGGTCTCGGGTTCAATTCCCAATCAAGGACATGTACCTGGGTTACAGGTTTAATCCCTGGCACTGGTCAGGGTCATGTGGGAGACAACTAATCGATGTGTCTCACATCCATGTTTTCTTTCTCTGTCTCCCTCCCTTTCACTCTATCTAAAACTCAATGGAGGAATATCCTTGGATGAGGATTAACAACAACAACAAAAGATGTTGATCTCATTGTTATTTTTGAGTGGGGAAAAAAAAAAAGAAAGTATTCTGAGCTGGTTTTGAGGTGTGTTTTAATCTGCCTTCAGCCTGGAGACCTGTGGAATTGGTTTCACTTAGAGAAGCAATGTCTTGGGGTGGCCACAATTACTGACTCCTAATGGGGGGATAGAATGTGAGGAAGATGGTACAGGCCACCTTAGACCTCTGAGCGCCAGAGACACTGACTTTGAGATGCCCCACCCAGGTCACATGAGGCATATTAAAATGTACCTGCATCCACAATTAAATATAATTTGTATCTACCTGTAGGAGTTGCATTGCTGTTGCTTGTTGGACGCACGCTACATTTTGCAGACAAACATTTATCAGTTGTGATTCTGCTGTTTTTTTGTTTTGGAGTCAATCTTTTTTGTTTGTGTGTTGTTTATTTTTTAGGTTGCAAACGTTTTTCGTTTACATTTTAAAAAAATATGTTTCTAGCCCTGGCCGGTTTGTCTCAGGGATTAGAGCGTCAGCCCATGGACCAATGAGTTGCAGGTTCGATTCCAGTCAAGGGCATGTACCTCGGTTGCAGTTCGTCCTGACCCTGGTCGGGTCGTGCGGGAGGCAACCAGTTGATGTGGCTCTATCACATCAGTGTTTCTCTGTCTCTGTCTCTGTCTCTGTCTCTCTGTCTCTGTCTCTGTCTCTCTCTGTCTCTGTCTCTCTCTCTCTCCCCCTCTCTCTCCCTCCCTCCCTCTCTTCCACTCTATCTGATGATAAAAAGAAAAGTATCCTCGGGTGAGGAATTAAAAAAAAACACATGTATGTTTTTTTTTTCTTTATTGATTTTAGAGAGAGAGTGAGAGAGAGAGAGAAACATCGATGAGAGAGAACATCGATTGGCCACCTCCTGCATGCCCCTCACTGGGGATTGGGCCCACAACCTGGGCATGTGTCCCAACTGGGAATTGAACCAGTGACCTCTTGATGTATGGGTCGACGCTCAACCACTGAGCCACACCGGCCGGACTATATATATATATGTTTCTATTGATTTTCTTAGAGAGAGAGGAAGAGAGAGATAGAAACATCAGTCTGCTCCCTCCTGCCTGCCCCCTACCAGGGATGGAGCCCACAACCCGGGCATGTGCCCTGATTGGATATCGAACCTGGACCTCTCAGTCCACGGGCACGACGCTCAATCCACTGAGCCACATCGGCTGGGCGCAAACGTTTTTCTTGGCCAAGGCACTGTATGTGGTGCCTGGTGGGTGAAGCGGCATAGGTTGTGCTGAGGCCAGTGGGTTGCGTTTTGGGGGAACCTGTGCTGGCTCAGCAGAAGGAACTTTCTAACCATTAAAAGGCTGCTTTACCAGAAGAGCTTCCTGCTCCTGGAAATAATTATATTTCAGGCCAACTAACATCTATTTAGCACCTAGTATATGCCAGGCACTGTCAGGCCATCAGAAATGCTGTAGGAAAAATTTCTAGCCTTAATGGGAAGCAGGAGAACATGGTCTCTGGAGTCCCTTCGAGTTTAATGATTTCATGGGCATAAAGGCGCCGTCTAGCAGCTGCCACTCAAAGCATGATTCCTGGACCAGCAGCTTCAGCCTGGAGCTTGTCGGAAATATGCATCTCAGGCCCCACCCCAGACCTGCTGAATCGGAATTTGCATTTTCGCAAGATCCCAAGTGACTCTGTACACGAATTACAGTTTAAGAAGCATTGCTCTCGTCCCCCAACACCGCTGTCACCAGCAACCGCCAGTCCTGGGCTGACCACAGCTATAAGTTTAAGGACTTATTTGTCATTTAGGAAGAAGCATCACCCTAAAATTAACTGATAAACACAGATGCATCTCCAGCTAGCAGCTCAGGGCCCCAAGGGAGCTGGCTGAAGGCTCTG